CAAAAAATAACTGTATGAAAATGCATCTTTAAATATCAAGAATTAATAAAACGTGCACAAATAAAGAAAACACATTTATTTATTATCTTTGCTACCTTTAACACTTACAGTTGCTCACTTTAAGTTAAAGACATAACCTTCCTTTAAGGATTGTGCATCGCCTGCCACCTTTCCTGTCCTGAAATCATCTTGAATTGATAAATAATAGCGTTGTAGCCATTTTAGTCAAACCTTGAAAATATTGTTTTGCACAATTTCACAAGATGTGAAGTGTTGGGGATGACTCTCAGCTACTACCAGACCATATTTTAGCTCAACGTCTAAAAGATTGTTGGCGTTAGAGCCATATATATTGATCAGCTGTGGCGGCCATCTTAGACTGGATTGGCTCCGCAGGTTAAGTTTGATTAAAATCAACCCAGTGGTGCATGAGATATTTTGCTAACAGACAGACACGCACACAAATACAAGCGAAGACAGCATCGTCAGTCTTTGCTTTTCAGCAGTGAGAGATAAAAATTGAAGGATCTTTCCAAGAAACTGCAGTTTTATAAATAAAAACAACCATGTAACGACATGGAGTTATTGTTGTTTTTTTATACTTGGATGTGAGTACTTATCAGTAAATTAACCTAACGTCTACAAAGACTAAAGCTGGAGATGGTGCCGGCACCTCTCCACTAAAACACTTTTTCTTTAAACTCTGCCACCGTCCTCTCCACCACTTGTGGACTCTGGTCCACCGTCTCCACGCTCCTCTGCTCATCCCTAAAATTAATTCATCCGCACATCTCTGTCCCAACAACACCACATTAACCCCGACCGCAGGAGGCATCCTGACGGAAAAAAATGTCCCTCTCTGAAACATCAAGTTGACCTTTCCACCTCTGCTCCCCCCCCCCTTACGTTCACCTTTCACTTCATCTCTGATCCAAACTTCTCCACAAACTGTCCACTCTTACCGTTCAGTTAAATAAACGGGCTACAACTGTCGCGTTTTGATATTCAGCGGAGCATCAGAGCCGTTGCTCTGC